GGGAGCGAGCGCGGGAGCCTGAGAGCCACGGGCCGGCCGAGCCGCAGGAGCCGTGCGCTCGGCGCGCGCTCAGCAAACGCAGCGCGCGGCGGCGGCTGAACTCCTGCGGGAACGTGGTGTCCTCGCGCCCACGGTGTCCTTAGGGGCTCTTCCGTCACCTGGACGGGTGGCTCCGCCGCTCGTTCCCAGACCCCTGCTCTTCTCCACACTGCCTCGGATCAAGCCTTCAGCGGAACCTTCTCCAAACTCTCCGGGTTCGCTCTGCAGCCCCCTCCTGGGTTCTGTGACAGGGCCCCCGGCCAGGGCCTTCAAATGAAGAAGACTGGAGTCTCCTCTTGCGCACTGTTTTGAAAACCGTGGGCCGTGACACAATAATCGATCATTAAAGAAATTCAGTGGGTGGCAAGCAGCTTCTTTTAAAAAAAAAAAAGAAAGAAATGTACCAAATAGAGGATATTAGGATCCATTGCCCTTAGTAAGGGTAACTAAGGTTTCGTAAACCTTTTGTTTCAGTTGTACATACTGGACAGCCTACTGTACTATGATGTAAATTGTATTTCCTAATAGTGAAAGTCATGATGAAAAAAAGTTTCAAATCTGTGTTTGGGGGTGTAAAATAGTGATCTAACACGGTGCAGGCTTTCCTAAAGAAAATCCATTGTATTCTCACTACCACTTATCATTCCCGACCTCCATAGCCTGTGAGACCCCACCTCCAACCCCTCAAAAAAAGACGAGCCCTCTCACACATTTTTCTAGTTTTGTGGCAGGCGCACCTTTCCCAGTTCACGCCAGGATGACCTTGGACCCTGCGGTCTTCCTGGCCCCACCTTCCATGCTACACTGCCCGCTGCTTCTGTAGCCCAATGTCATTCACATCTGCAGATTCCTAGATACCGTTACTAGAACAAGACCCAGAGCCAGCCCTACCTTTTTAAAATAGAAGAACTGAGGCCCAGAGGAATGAAGTATATGGCCCACTGTTACACAGCATTAAATTGCAGGGTCATGTCTCGGCTCCCACTCCGGCGTTCTGGGCTTCCCGCTGTTCATTCATCCCTTCCTTTCGGTCTCCCCTGCCATCCTTCACTGGTCTCGGCTCAGTTCCCCTAAGCACTGCCGCTTCCTAACGCACGGCTCTGCCCATGCCAGGCTCCGGCTCACATCTGACAACGGCTCAACCTCCACACCCGAGGTTCCTCGCTCCTTGGCGCCTAGTCAAGGCAGGCAGGCCCTGACCTAACCTTTCCGAGCACATGAGTTCAACAAGTCTCTGCCTCTCCAGCCAGACTGGTTTACTCGTGGTCCTCCGCCAGCCTTGCCCATCTGTGCCTCTTGTGTCTTTGCCCAGGCGGCTGCTTTGCCACCAACAGTACCTCCTCTGTGTTCTCTCTTTAACCAGACTCTACCTTTGCCCGGGGTTGCATGAGATTAAGACAGACCCGGGTTCGGAACACAGCTCTTCCACTTAGCAGCCGTGTGAATTTGGTCACATTGCTTAACTTCTCAGACCTTCCCTTCCTGTATCTTAATTACAAATGAGAATAGTACTACCAATAATGTTCTTTTCTTGTTCCTATAAACCTCTATCATGACCTTGTCAATGTAAGACATATTTCAAACCTTTTATAAGAGTTTATTTGAGCCAAACTGACGACATAGGCCGGGGAGCAGACTCTCAAAACCTCTGGAAAATAATAGTCTTGTAGTTTCTTTTATGCATTTGGAATTAAGGAGGGGACATAAGGAAGATTATATGGAGGTGGGAGAAAGCAAGCTGGGGATTGCATTACAGGATAGTTAACAGTTTAACAAGATTATGTGCCCTCTTGAGGGCTAATACCCCTCCCAGGGGTATTACTTCTGGCGTCTCCAAGGTGTGTTAACCTAGCTGCACAAGGACAATGGACAGGGCTGGCTTCAAACCTTTCGCTGAAGAAGTTACAGGCCTGGGGCGGGACTGCTTACCATGACCGGCCCAGTGAGGAATTTATGCTCAGCTCTCCCCGTGAGGTTACTTCCCATAGAACCCCCTTGTTTTGTCCACAGGCTTTACATTAAGCTATTATCTCTCTTCCCCTTTCCAGGGCTGCACAACAGAACTTTCTGCAATGATGGAAATGTAACAACCTGTGGCTGCTGAGCACGCGGAGCGCGGCTAGCGTGGCTGAGGAACCGAACTCTTCTTTCTAACTCGTGTCAATAGGCGCGTGCGGCCAGCGGCTACCGGAATCGGACAGTGCACCCCCAACTTTCAGCTCACCAGGGGAGAGCCGTGCTGATCTTGCCTGGCACATGGAAGGCACTGCACAAATATCTGTTGAATGAACCACAGCTGCCATGTATTACATGCTCGCTTGTGCCAAGCACACTAAGAACTCGCTCTAAGTAATTTGGTATAGTCCCCCCACAGCCGCTGAGGTGGGATTAGAGTTTGTATACAGCGCTGGCAGATAGTAGGTGTTAAATAAAAGGTGGTTATTATCATTACTAAGACCTACCTGTGTGACCAAGATCACCCAACTGATTTTTCTCTCTTCTTCCTCTAGGCTTCCAGAGCAGTTCCTGCCTGTCGCACACACTCTGGTGTCCATGGCATACCTCAGCCTAGATGGCGGACCCTCCTCCATACAGGTGCCCCGTCCCCACTACTGGGCTGGCAGCACTTGGGCAGGCCCATGGCATTCCTGTTTGGATGTCCTCAGCTCAGGGCCTGCATGCGTAGTGTTCAGTCGCTCCCTCTGACTTTGTCCTGTTGCTGTCTGGCCATGAGTCTCAGTCTCTGGAACACCCCCTCTGTGCTCCCCAAATTCATATGTTAAAATCCTAGCCCCCAGTGCCTCAGAAGGGGACTCTTTGGGGAAGTAGGTTAAAATGAGGCCATTGGGGTGGGGTAGGGCTAATCCAATATAACTGGTGTCCTTGTGAGAAGCGAATTGGCCCGGCCGGCGTGGCTCAGTGGTTGAGCGTCGACCTAGGATCCAGGAGATCGTAGTTCAATTCCCGGTCAGGGCACAGGCCCGGGTTGCGGGCTCGATCCCCGGTCGGGGGCGTGCAGGAGGCAGCCGATCAATGGCTCTCTCATGATTGATGTTTCTCTCTCTCTCTCTCTCTCCCCCTCTCCCTTCCTCTCTCTGAAATCAATAAAGAT